AACGATTGGCATTCTTATTGTAGCCAGATCTCGCAGTACCCCTCTGAAGACACCAACAGAATTCTACAAGCATGGGTGGATACATAAAAACGATATTTTTACGATTAAATGCAATCAAGTGTCCCAAAACGTAAGAAAAACAAAACACCCGTTATCTATGTTTTGTGATGTGATATGAGTATAAAACATTTTTTTCTTTAGTATATGGAGTATAGGTACCCAACCTATCACATCAGGTATCACAATGAAAAGTGTTTATTGAATTTTCTGAAATCATACAAAATTAATAAAACAATACTTCATTTTTCATTGAAAAAGGTCTTTTTTTTTCGAACGATTGGCATTCCTATTGTAGCCAGATCTCGCAGTATCCCTCTGAAGACACCAACAGAAGTCTGCAAGCATGGGTGGATACATAAAAGCGATATTTTTACGATTAACTACAATCAAGTGTCCCAAAAAGTAAGAAAAACAAAACACCCGTTATCTATGTTTTATGATGTGATATGGGTATAAAACATTTTGTTCTTTAGTATATGGAGTATAGGTACCCAACCTATCACATCAGGTATCACAATGAAAAGTGTTTATTGAATTTTTTGAAATCATACAAAATTAATAAAACAATACTTCATTTTTCATTAGAAAATGTCTTTTTTTTCGAACGATTGGCATTCCTATTGTAGCCAAATCTCGCGGTATCCCTCTGCAGACACCAACAGAAGTCTGCAAGCATGGGTGGATACATAAAAGCGATATTTTTACGATTAAATGCAATCAAGTGTCCCAAAAAGTAAGAAAAACAAAACACCCGTTATCTATGTCTTGTGATGTGATATGAGTATAAAACATTTTTTTCTTTAGAGTATGGAGTATACCCAACCTCAAACACTATCTGAACTTTCTGTGAATTTTTTAGTGTTGCATAGTGTAATTAATAAATTTAGATAATAATACAAGTAAGATGATACTATACTAATTAAATCTATATAACAATGATTGTATTAATTATTATAAATCCCCATCACTTAATGTAAAATATAATAAAGCAACTTTAATAAACGCGTTCAAATTTATGAAGTAAGTACTCATCAACAGAGTAAAAGGCCTTGTGAAGTAAATACTTTTTAATATTTATCAAAAGCATTTTCGTTTCAAGAGATTTAAATGTTTTTGGCAATGCATTATAAAACTTAATACAAAAATATGAGGTTCCATTCTTACATTTGGTGAGCTTCAGCAAGTTATAACTTAAGTCTTCACTTCTAGTTTTGTAATTGTGATATGTGCTTAATTTCCGGTAATCCTGAGCATTATTTACCAAATATTCAAGACAGCGATATATGTATAGACATGGTAAAGTAAGAACATTTAAGCTTATGAAAAATGATCTACAATCTTCAGAGTATGAAACACCTGCAAGAATTCTCAGTGCTCTCCTTTGGAGTTTAAATAATTTATTTAAGGTTGAGGAGTGTCCCCAAATTAATATGCCATAATTGAGATGACAATTTACTAAAGAGTAGTATGCTATCCGAAGATATTTTGAAGAAATCTTATTAGCCAAATTACGCAAAAGAAAAATGTTTTTTGATATTTTATTTGCTATGTAATCCCCATGTTTTTTCCATGTAAGTTCTGAGTCTATTAAAACACCAAGATATTTTGTAAATGTAAGTGTATCATTAACACCCTTTTTTAAACTAAACAACATCGTGACTGTTTTTTTTTTATTTAACGATAATCGGTTCGCAGTGAACCAGTCTACTGATTGGTTTACAAGAAATTTATTTTTTGCTCTAGCTTGTTCAGTTGTTATTCCTGCATTGCCTATAGAGGTATCATCTGCATAAAGTGTGACCTCTCCATCCTGTAAATAAGAAGGGAGATCATTCGTAAACAAAAGGAATAAAATCTGCCCAAGAATTGAACCTTGCGGAACTCCATATGCAATGTTGGAAGCCTCTGAAAGTATTCCATTAAAACATGTTCTCTGAGTACGATTTGTTAAATATGACATGATAAGTTTGACACTACTTGGATGAAAATTATAAAAATAAAGTTTACGCATTAGAATGTCGTGCGGCACACAATCAAATGCTTTACTTAGGTCTATAAAAGCGAAGTTTTAATATAAGATGCAGCGAAGTTAACCTGTACATCACATTGGAAAACATTATTTTTTAAGCATATTCAAACGTTATGGTGCGTTTTACAGATATCTACACAGTCTAGAAACTGTAACAAACTTACCAAACTATAAAAACACAGTTGACACACTCTCAAATTTAAATGAATTCCGAAAATATTAGCATTGACTCTTATGAGAAAACCGGCTAGTTGTCAAACGCTGCCATCTTGATGACCTCGGATGACGTCAGTGTATTTGGCTAATTATTATCTTCTTCAAAATTGAACCACTTATTTAGATAAGTTATTGCATTATTTAATGCTTTGATAAAATTTTCTCTCATCTTATTCGCTTCAGCACTTTCAAATTGTTTTAGTTTTTCATGCACTAAGAACCCAAAAAAAGAATTTTTTCTTTCAACAAGCTTAATGTGCAGATTTTCTAGTATAAAAAATTTCTATTACAGTACAGCCTTTGATGATGTTCAAGTGGAAGGACCAGGATCTGCTGCTTTTTCTTCCTCTTGCATAATATATATATATATAGATATATTTACTGTACAAGTCGAGATCATTTAGTGATATTTTTTGTACAAGTAGAGATCCATTCTGGCAAGACGAGATCCAATTTGGATCTCGACTTGTTTCATGTGTATATCTTCACCAAACAATTTTTATAGGTGGGGGAAGGACGTCACTGCATTATTTGTCGGATCTCCGATTTCACATTTTTATCAATTTTTATACGAGAGTAGTTCAGGTGGGCACACCAACGAGGGCGCTGCAATGCTCAGGCTGTATATAACATTCTATCAATAAGTCGAGATCCAACAGATCTTGCAACATCGCAACAGTTTTTATTATAAGTTTTAACAAAACGACGGCGATTATTGAATTACAACAGAATTAAAATAGTAAAATGACAAAAAATAGGAATATTACAATTTTATTTATTTTTATAAGTATTATAAATATATACTTTAATTTGTACCCAAGTCTTGTTCATAAACAAATCAAAATTTTCCTGTTGTAATTTTAAGCATTCCGCTTTTTTCGGCGAAATTTTGTTTTTAATATGATTCTTAAAATAATTTAACATTATGGACTTTTGCTTGTCGTTCCATGTTCCACGACATTTCTCTTTTTTGGGTTTTTCTTTAGATATCTTTTTCTTTTTGAGTGGAGAATCATCAGACATAGTTTGAGCTTTGTGCTTGTTGGTTTGCGTAACGTTAACACTAGTCACAGACATAGTTGGCATGTCTAGTCTAATTCTTTCATCTTCTTCCTTTGGTTCATCATGTGCGCTTTTTTCCTCCAAATCATGGTCCTCTGATTCTAAAAAAATAAACAAGTCAAAAAACTGGTTATTTGTTATTTTGTTTATGTTATTATTTGTATGTTTTAAACTTAAAAAAAATTAAAATAATAGCCGGAAGTTACCACTTCCAGGGTCTTCAAGAGATTTTCCATTCCACGATTCCAATTCGACGTTGATTTCATCAAGAGTTTTACCCTGATTCTGGCTGCCGACTCCCCTTTCCATCATTAGAAGTAACTTGGCTATTTTTGCAGTTTGAAAAACGTCCTGCGGCATCCTTAAAAAAAGAAAGATATATAGGTTCTCGAAATATTGTTATTTTTACATATCCACAAGCTATATACTAAATATCCTACCTATAAAATTGTTCGTGGGTTTTTTTGGTATGGCCCATAAAGGTGGCCACTTGCTCCATTTCAGTGTCATTAAGGTTTAAAATCTGTAGGACAGTTGCAATTTGTTTTCTAAGGCGAGAAGAGGTTAGAGTACCAGGATTTTTGGCCCCACATTTGACTGCATATCTTCTTAATACGGCTGATCCATCCACCCATTTAGTTGAGCTTCCTGTTAACGCGAATAAAAATGGATTCTCATGCGGTACGAACGTAGTTTTTCTTCTGACTGATAGAAGTGTTTCTATGTATTTTTGTACATTTTTTGAAAAAAGTATCGGAACTGACCGACTTCCTTTTCCCACTGTGGTAATGCGTTTAAAATGCTTCGATAATTCTCTTTCACATTCATTTAGGGAACTAAGGCACTCCTCTTGGTTGGTACTTGTTGATATTCGATTATAAGATTCTAATTGTGTATATTGTACATCTCCGATTCTCTTCCTATTTAAAATTATTGTCAGAGCCAAAGCCGCTTCCGTAAGTTTTTTGAATGACGTCAAGTTTTCTGAATTCGTTTCTAGTTCTTTCACACATGTTTCCGCAATTTCTTGCGTATAATTTCTGAATAAAATAATATCCTGGGTTACTGGTAATTTCTGCGGATTTATTGATTGCTTTTCATTAAGGTCCTTTAGTGCCAGACTGCTCATTTCAAATTTCCAGTTAGCATCGACCAACTCCCGAAATCCCTTAACATTTTTGAGTGCTATGTCATAATCGGTAATCCCCAAAATAGGATGTTTTTTTAACATAAGAGTTTTAGCTGAAGAGCATACAGCTAATAATATTGTTTTCATATGAAGAGCAAGAGAAGGCGCTTTAAAGGATCGCTTTGCTTCATTGTAACCCGAAATTATGCGGCTGGCGGAAACTACTTTATCAAAGTGTTCAGGTTTTAACACTTCTAGCATGGAATTAATTTTATAAATATCTTGAAGTGGAATGAGAAGTCTTCCCAATTCCCTCACTTTGTTTGATACCGCATTTTTGATATGTGGTCTTTTATGTTTGCGCAGGTAGTCTTCTGCATATTGACAGATTATTGGGTCACTTTTTCCGTTTAAAGATATTCTGTCAGCACGCATTTTGCTAAACACTTCGCATTTCAATCTTGATTTTTTTTAGAAATTCTTGACGAGATTCAGTAAAAGCAATCATTGTCTGACCCTCGCTTGCAAAATTGTGTTTTTGATTAATCTCTTTATTGTAACAGCAAGTAAGGGCGTGCCTCCGTAGAGATTTTTTTTTGTATAATCCTTTACAATAAATGCATGGAAGGTAATCTGTTGGGAGAATTTCATCATTTTTACTTTGTATTGCAGACGGTCTTTGAACCGGCCTCGTTATATTCTCTCCTAGTACTGTAAAATTCCCTTGCTTTCTTATGAGATCAATCATAATTTTTCTTTTGCGTTCACCTTTTGGCTGCTGTTCAAGGATTTTTCGTACACTTTCTTCTTCTGCATGTTTTCTAAAAAGATGTCTTGAAAAATTAGTGACGTCTTTATCGCAGTAAGAGCAGCGATCCTTTTTGTCCCATACTCTTCCCTTACGTAGACTGTGTTCCACAGGATTTTTATGAATTGGTCTTCGAGTGGAACCCTGAAAGAATGGTATTTTAACATCATAGAGTAAGTTGCAAGAACTTTTTCCTACTCGTTGCTATGGACGACGTCTGGCAAAAGCTATTTCACAACGTCGTCAATACCAACGTACGGAAAGAAAGACAGATTGGAGAAATGTCATTAATTTGACTTTTGTTGTGGAAACTTGTTTGCATTTTTTCTTCAGATATTAGGGATAACGAGTAGAAAAAATTATGTGAGACACACGGCCACAAAATGTTTTGCGAGTGCTTGTGTTGTTCCGCCTGGACTAGCGTCTCTCGGCTCCACATTATCACTCGCACTCGCAAACATGCATTTTCTGGTCTTGTGTCACAAATAACTATTGCTAGACGTCGTCCATAGCAACGAGTAGGAAAATAGTATATTATTAGCCAAGGTTGCAAAGCCAAGCATTCTAGACCGAGCGCAAATTAGAAGCCGAGACTCGCAGTGTCGAGGGCTCTGAAGGGCGAGGTCTAGAAGTGGCTTTGCAACCGTGGTTAATATATTATTTTTTTCACTAGTAGAAACCATAAGACAATAAATTGAAAAAATAAACGTTCAATTTTTTGACGCAACATGATTTTATTTTGATTTCTAATCAAACTTGATCTAAATCTTCAGCACAAAGAAAACCGTTTACACTTGTCGCTGAATTAATCATTTTATCTTCCACCGTCTACCAACTACCATGCGTATACTCAAGTAATGTTAGTATCACACATTTATTCATTTTTTAAGAAATAATCACATCAAGTATTGCGTACATAACCTCAATCTTCTTTTTGAACCCGTGGTCGCAAAAGTTGAAATTGCTACCTCTAAATGAGTGGACATGCTTCATAGCTGCTAGTGAAAACAATTTTTTTTTCACTAGCAGCCATGATCCATGCAAATGTCGACTCATTTAGAGGTAGCAAATTCAACTTTTGCGACCACCGATTCAAAAAGAAAAATTGAGGTTATGTCAGTGTTGCCAACCCAAGATTACGAAATATCCCACGAACTTACCAAAAATATCCCTTTTTTTCGCTAAATATCCCACACCAAATTGTTAAATTTACATTATTCCCGCGTTGCTTCTCTAGTAGGTATGTATATACTGGGAGAGCAAGAAAAAACGTGATCAAAAGCGCCATGAAACGAACAAAATTAATTGATGCAACAATTAATTGTTCGTTTCATTGCTCTTTGAAATTTTCGCGAATAAAAAAAAATCCCATAATAATTTATTATACCGGGTGTTTCAAAATGATTTTCATCTAGTCGCTTATGGATTTTCCATGCAAATTAAAAAATGCCGCTTCTCGAAATAATGGATAGAAGGTAATTGACAATTGTTGGTTGCATAACTACAAAATAGTCTTGAAAAATTATTAAATAATTATGAAGAAAACTCGATCGCTTGAGGGATAAAGTTGACTCAATCCCTGCTTAATTTTTCTGTTTGTTGTTTACATTTCTTGGTTGCAGTTGGCGATTTTGCGCTATATTGCGCATGTCACAAGTAGACACATTGAATAGGCCAATCTTCATTTATTAAACGTACGCTTCGAAAATAAGCTTTAATAATTAAAATGTTTTCTTGTATGGTATACATTTTATTATCAAAACAAAATCATAAACTCTTATCATGTAAAAAATAGAACAAAGAAACCGATTTACACGGAAAATTAATTTAAATTCTTAAAATTTAACAAACAAACTAACAACATAAAAATTAATTTATTCACTCTTTAAATGAGTAAAAATTGCTATACAGTTTCAACATATCATTGACTATTGCATAATTAACACAAGTTTTATTGCTCTGATGCAGTGCACTACGTATGACACACATTGCATTTAAAGTAATTTCACCCATTCTATTTCTTTTCTTGCTCTTAATGTCTGTCACTAGAGAGAATATCCTCTCAGCTTCTGCATTCGAATGGGGTAATGTGAGAATTACTTTAGCTAATTTGCCTATATTTGGAAACATCAAGATATTGTCAAAGTTCTTAGCATTTGCTATTTCCAGCCACATTTTGTCAAGTGGCATAACTTTCAAGTCTTTTCTTTCCTGTTCATTAAAAGATGATGGTAGATTTTGCCATTCGACAGACAATTGTGTTTCATCAATTAGACTTTTAAACTGATTTACTAAGGGAGTGAGCTGTATTTCTGAATGCCTTGTTGGGGAAAAAATTATTTCAGGGTCCATAAACTTGATGGATTTAAATATAGAGTTGGATATAGGTAATCTCTGTTGAATTTCTGATCCAGCAGTAACATAAAATGATAAACAATATTTCCTCACTGTTTCTTGGACTGCCAGTGGTGCTGATTGCAAATAGCTCTCACATGCAGCACCTAATTTTATATTTTTCAATTCTACAAAATACTCTGGATGCGCTAAATTAATGGCGCTCAAATCTTTGCAATAACACACTTCTGTTTTTAGGTAGTTACTACACAATTGCAAGAGCAACCTATTGCAATTGTCCTGGAGTTGATGTATAATTATAGCGTTAGATTGAAAAAGGGCATTGAATGCATTTAAAAAATTTAAAGCATATTTTAAAAAATAAAGATATGCTTTGGTGTACACATCTCTCATATCTTTGAGAATAGTTTCCGCACATCTTAATTTATCTTCAGCAGCTGCTGTAACAAAAAAATGTTCTAAAGATGTCCAATTGTCTAAGATTCTCACCACACATTGGTGTCTACTCAACCACCTAGTGGTTGCAAGCTTCAAGATTTTTTTTTGTTCTTGGTGAAAATATGTCTGGAACTCTACTAATATTGCACAACGCTTGGCACTTCCAGTAATATAAGACCCTATATTCCTAATTAGATCTTCTGGTCCTCGTGGTAACTTTTCGCAAGCTTTACTAGCCACCAAGGCGGCAGAATGACATACACATTTCATTAATACTACATGTGGAATGTCATCTTGAAGACGACTGAAAAACGAATTAGTGTGACCAGTCATCACATTTGCTCCATCACAAGCTATACCTATGATATTTGTTAATGGAATATTGTGCTTATATAAACAGTCTTTAAAAGCATTGTACAGATTCTCTGCACTGCAGTCTTTAGCATCTAAAGGTACTAACTCTAATAAATTAGTTTTAGTCTTATTGTCATCGTTATCACAATATTTCACTAAAACACAAAGGTTTTTGTGATTTGATATATCAGTGCTCTCATCAACTAATACTGAAAAATTGTTATTTTTCAAATTTTTAACTAAAACATTGGTTTCATGCTTGCTAACAACGTTGTTTACAACCTCGCTACATTTTGTTCTTGCTAATCTCACATCTTGTAATATTTTCGAATCACCGAAGATATCTTTCAATAAGGGGACTAAATGATCCACAACCATTGTAGCTACATTGTGTTCCGCAAAAAATAATGCTAATTTAAGTTCAGCTCTCTTTACTTTTTCTTCATGACCATCATTATTTTTAAAGTAATTGGTAACACTTCTATTTAAATTCACAGTTCTCATTTTTTCAATATGTTTTTTTCTTTCAGAATGCCTTGTTAGCTCTGTGAGACCACAGACCAACTCAATATTGCAAACCTTGCACCTGTAATTAATAATAATTATCATCAACCAAGTACTTCTATGATTTTCATACTACATACCGACATTTTTCTTTGTTATTAGCTAATGGTTGCAGCCAGTTTTTAAACTTGTCTTTTTCCAGCCAAGCGAGCTGAAAACGTTTATGCTCAGCATGCCTGTATTTTTTTCTTTTATGTGAATGTTCTGCATTACCATTTGATGTGTCTGTATCAGACATTTTTCTTATCTTTCTTACAAAATTATTTTTCGATACACACACTAAATACTTTTAAAAATTGTTACAACAGGAATAAAAAATAAACTTAACCATAAATATTTCGTGATGGCGACAGTTGACAACAGCTGAGGAACTGATAGACTGATACCTAACCTAAAACACGACTAAAGGAGTAACAAAATCAGTTCAGTTAACTGCATTACCGACCACACCGAGAAGATTTTTGATCACAGTTTTTGATTTACCATTTAGGACAATTTAGTACTACCATGGTAGCGGTAGCGCTGTTTCGATGTTATGTCATGTGAATGTAAACAAGGAACAAGAATCTTCGGATAACTGAATATTACCACTATTAAAAATCCCACGAAAAGAGGCTTAAATCCCTTTATCCCTTAAACAAGCTTAAAATCCCGTGAAAAGGGATAAATCCCACGAATTGGCAACACTGGGTTATGTACGCAATGTTTGATGTGATTATTTCTTAAAAAATGAACAAATGTGTGCTACAAACATTACTTGAGTATACGCATGGTAGTTGGTAGACGGTAGAAGATAAAATGATTAACTCAGCGACAAGTATAAACGGTTTTCTTTGTGTTGACGATTTAGATTAAGTTTGATTAGAAATCAAAACAAAATCATGTTGCGTCAAAAAATTAAACGTTTATTTTTTCAGTTTATTGTCTTATGGTTTCTACTAGTGAAAAAAATAGTAACGGTTGCAAAGCCACTTCTAGACCTCGCGCTTCAGAGCCCTCGACGCTGCGCGTCTCGGGTTCTAATTTGCGCTCGGTCTAGAATGCTTGGCGTTGCAACCTTGGCTAATAATAAATATACTATATTCTCAGGCTAAAGTGATACGCGCTATAATGTAAAAACCTCGTAATTCTGATACATAGGCTACGTACTTATATGAATGTATTCAATAAAAATACGCATACCGATAAATCACAGTCTGATGTAGGTAATGGTTTTGGACTCGTTGGGAGTGGATTTTTCGCGTCAAGAGAACTTTCAATACACTTGACAGGATTTGATGACTGACGTTCCTTAGAAGCGGCATGAAAATATATAGGTGATTTTCGGGGGATAGACTCGCTTATCTCGGAATAATTATCTTCTGAAGTGACATCATTCTCTTGATTGGGCTTCCAAGAAACCTAAAAGTAATGATATTATCATTGGCAATATTTTATTTTAAATGTAATCAATTGAAATTTCTAGAAGTTTTTTATACAGTAGCGTTATCATTTTTCAGCAAGGATGAGAAAATTTTGAATTTCCAATATAAATAGTTACCATCACTGAACAAAAAAACTAGAGCACAGTTGATAACTAGATCATTTTCAAAATTACAGAATTTTAAACATATAAACTGAATAATTTATCCATCCATCTACTTTAAACACATAAGTTGGGTTTTTGTTAAAAAGTATTCCCATCATTTTATGAGATATGGTTGACACCGGATGACATTACGAAAAAAATGATTTTGAAATGGGTTCGGAAAACACATCGATTAATATTTACTAGCAATCAAAGAATTTCGCAGGTTTCGTTTTTTAAATTGCTGCCCCAGTTTCAAGAAAATTTTGATAGAAATCTTGTTCAATTTTGATGATGCGGCACTGATTATAATCTATTTGCATCATCCATAGTTAAATACCGATTGTGTTCTTTGTGTTGTTAGCTTTTTTAACTACAAAAATTTGAGGCGTATATCTTCGCTTAATGCGTTAATAATTATTTTTTACGTCACATCTGTCAAACTTGTAACAATAAAAAAAATTGGTCTAAAGAGTTTAGACAGTACTTCCCTCGCTGTCGGAAACTTGACGACTGCATGCCTATTGTGTTTTTTTTCTCATTACATTTTTGTAGTGGGAATTTAAAAAAAAATTGCGATGACATCATCAACATTTTTGCAAGGACACGTATATCAGTTGGGATAGATGTAGTGTAATACTAAGAATAAAATTATTATATTCTCAAATTTTCGGGAAAATGAATTGGGTCGTTTGAATATTGATTTGTAATAATCAATAAAATAACGAAACAATTTACTCACGTATACCTACGTATCAGAGGCAACTGAAAATCGTGTATGTATAAACATTGTTAATTTAAGATGACAGGCGTAACAGCATACGTGAGAGCCAAACACAGAAACTGTAAACAAAACGACCGTCGGTTTTATTGCTTCGACTTCCGCTTATTATATAAAACATTGGGTTTTATTTTAATTCTTGACGGTGAAATTCACAATTGGTTGATTATAAACATGTCTATTTCACATTCGCGGAATCAAGTGAACGCATAAAACAAATGCAGGTCTGTAATGTTAAAGTCGATGTAAATAAGCGTGCTACCCTTATGTTTCAACCGAGTTTTTCCTTTAACAAATTTTGTGTCTACCAAATTGGGTTGGTTGGGGTGTAATACTAATAATAAGTGTTGCCTTTAATTTTTTTTTTTTTTTTTTTTTTTTTATTAATTACGTCCCCCAACAGGCACTGAGGCCCAATTACAGGGGAACGGGACATACACGTTACACCCAGAGCCATGGCGGGAATCGAACCCACGACCCAAGGTGTAGCGGGCAAGCATGATGCTAACTAGCCCACCCCGGGTCCTTAATTTAATCAATAAAATAAATTGACTTCATTAATTTTTTTGAACCACCTCTTAAGAAAATCTAAAAAATATGAATGGAATGATAAATCACAAGTACAAACTCATCATATTTTTTGCATTTTAGATAGGATTTATTCAGCAAAATTTAAGGGTGACGTCATCAATTTTTTTAGGAGGGATGAACAAATACATTTTGAACAAAAGTTTACCATGCTTATAATAACTTTAAAATATTCCCAAGATTTCAAAGCATTCGGTTTTGTAATTCCTGATTAAATCGATAAAATAAATTCACGCCTTCATTAATTTTTTTGAGTCACCCTGCATATGCAAATCCAAAAATATGAATGGAATGATAAATCACAAGTACAGACTCATCATATTTTGTACATTTTAGATACGATTTATTCGGAAAACTTTTGAGCTGACGTCATCAGTTTTTTGTAGAAGATAACCTAATATATTTTGACTAAAAATTTATTATGCTCTTTATAACCTTAAAACATCTGCAAGATTTCAAAGCATTCGGTTTTGTAGTTCCTGATTAAATCAATAAAATAAATTTACGCATTCATTAATTTTTTTGAGTCACTCTGTATATGCAAATCCAAAAAATATGAATGGAGTGATAAATGACAAGTACAGGCTCATCATATTTTGTACATTTTAGATATGATTTATTCGGCAAACTTTCGAGCTGACGTCATCAAGTTTTTGGAGGGGATAAGCAAATATATTTTGACTAAACATTTATTATGCTCTTTATGACCTTAAAACATCTGCAAGATTTCAGAGCATTCGGTTTTGTAGTTCCTGATTAAATCAATAAAATATATTTACGCATTCATTAATTTTTTTGAGTCACCCTGTATATGCAAATCCAAAAAATATTAATGGAGTGATAGTTCACAAGTACAGACTCATCATATTTTGTACATTTTAGATATGATTTATTCCACAAACTTTTGAGCTGACGTCATCAAGTTTTTGGAGGGGATAAGCAAATATTTTTTGACTAAAGATTTATGATGCTCTTTATAGCCTTAAAACATCTGCAACATTTCAAAGCATTCTGGTTAGCAGATTAAAAATTAAATTTCAAAATGTTGTTTTATAATTTTGATTTTTTTTCCAAAAATCTGGACGTTTCGGGTGAAAAGTCGATTCAGAGTTGTAAACTACATGTGTAGGACTATGTTATTTTATACAATTGAAAACCCATTTACTATGTACAATTTTGAAGTGACGTCATCGCTTTAGTGGTGGGGATGATTCGACAAATTTTGGTTAGCGTTTTACCATCTACATGATATTCTTAATATAAGTACAAAATTTCACAACAATCGGTCGAGTACTTTCGGAGATTATCTGTCTAATAAAAATCCGTGACAACAGACGGACAGACGGACAGACGGACAGACGGACGGACAGACGGACAGACGGACAGACGGACAGACAGACGGAAATGGGAGACCTATTTCTTCGTCTTCTAGGGGTCATGAAAGATCGAGAAAACGTAAAAGTAGAGAGTCGGCCGACGGACTCGATTAGAATACTTCCTTTGCTTACGCTCGGGAAGTAAAAATCGAAATAAAAACGTTTTTCAATAATTGGCGTGTCCAAAATGTGTCTATTATGCCTTGTCTATTATGCAGACGTGTACCCTTTATTGAAGAACGTGTTTATTATTGTTATAAGTTTGACAAATATGACGTAAAAAATTAATTGTCCGATTCAACATACAACGCCAACATACGTCTCATTATGTGCATATCAGTGACGCCGAATTAGGTCTGGATTTTGGGATTTTTATCCTTGTATTAGAATGAATAAAAATTACTGGAAATGCCCTCAACTTATTTCAGAGATGTTGTGCTTTAATTTTCCGAACGTATTTCAAAATCACCCTGTATATCTGAATTTCATTTTTAAAATGTAATTATGATTGTCGTTTTGTGACACAATTGACAATTGTAAAATTTCCAATTTCCAATTTTCTTTGTCCACTGATGGTACGTACCTACTTAAACAACAAATCTGATATTCGATATTTAACTACTTCACTTACTGATGAATCTGCAAATAGGGAACTCTCCGACAAATGCGAATTTTCGTCATCACTATTATGATCTTCCTTTTCGGCGGAATTCTAAAACACATTATTTTGTATTTGTTTTCGTTAAGTACTGTGTAGGTCTTGAGTGAAAAATGGGCACTAAAAATGCAGGAATTAGCAGTGAAATTGCCCATTTTTCTACATTTTTTTATGCACCAGTTGGCTATTTTTGAAATAAAATGATAATTTTCACTATAAAACTTACTCTGATTTACAATATTTTACATACATGACTGTTAGAACAACATACATACCAGAAGTTGATCGTTACATGTATGCACCGCTTCTGTAGTAGTTAGAGGCGTTAATTGGTTAACAGGGTCTTCATGATTTTGAATATCATTTAAAACGCTATTAACACTATTCTCAGATCCGGTTTGAACATTTCCCTAAAAATACGTCAAATCTATGTACAGAGTTCTAAAGATTCATGGAAATTAATTTAGGTACTGTTAAAATATCAGGCATATTTTTTTTTAGCTGCACAACTTATAGAACCGTTAAGGGGAATATGTATTTATCCAACACTTATATTTGTACATTTTCGCTAAAGACAAATAGTTCTTGTAAAAATTTGTATGAAATAGGACGCACGCCTGTCGATGATAGAAAGCGAAAAAATCGCTCTGAAAGTATTCAGTCAGACTCGAGTTTCAATAATGTTGACATTTTACAACTGCATTAGGAAAATTACTTTTTACTACATACCTGAAGATTGTGGTCTAACGTTGAGAGTTGTGGGCTAGTTTCAAGTGGTCTTAATTCTTCAAGCACACGTTCTTCAAAATTTTGATTATCATTTTCCATATGGTTGTCCTAAAAATTCGTTAAAATTTTATAATTGAGTTCTGTCCAATTTTCGGATTAGGATGAACTAACCCAATAATTTTAAATTTAATGAACGTTTTTTGATGGTAACTAGTTTTTTAAACACCAAAAGACGACTGCCCTTGGTGCCATGTTTTAAATGAAGTACAATATTTCTATTCAATCTTCTTTATAACATCTTAAATAAGAAAAAAAAATCTGCGGCAGTGAAAGTCCTTTTCTCAAAAAGTACAATTTTTATTAAAAACAATTAATGAAATTTAAAGCTGTTTGTGTCCAAAACCGAAAAGTTTCTAAAAAATTCCCTTCTGAACAGCGGTCTATTTAAAAATAATTTTATCTGACTTACAGGTGGGTACTCTAAATTAACTCGTATGATTTTTGACGAATAATATACTAATAATTTTAACTTTTATCTACGTCGAACAGTGGACTTTATAATTTTTTTATATATAAGATATAAAACAAATGCAATAAGGGTCGGTATCACCAATGTTAGTTAAATTTAACGGATGATTAACTACTTAGATATATTTGTTACAACCATACCAACAATTGTTTTTAACGAATGATTAAAGTTAACTGAAATTGTGAAATCCATCTTAATTGTATTAAATCGATAATTCAAATATACATACCTTTTGATTACAGTATGAGTTATTCAATCTTTGAGCCAATGGTATTTTTATTTTCTTTGCTGCTTGCCACTTTTTAAAATGTGACCACGGGTCTTCTGCATATTGGTCTTCTAAATAATCATAATTATATTCGTCCGAGTGTTCGTCGGATTCATCTAGTTTCACTGTTAAAATGCGACGAGATTAACATTAACATTGTAATAATACCATTCTTATTTTACTTTACCTTCGTTTAATGGTACATTAGATTTTCCACTTCTGGCCAAATATACTAAGTTTTTTCCACGACTTATCATGATGTCGAAAAATTTTGCTTACATCACCACTGACTATCCACTCAAAACACCAAAACTCTGAAAAACTACGTAAATGCACGTGCAACTGGTCTCTTTGCGCAGACGGGCCAGACGTAACTCTGGCCATGGTAGAAGGAGACATGGTATAGGCATACGCATCGGGTGTGACGTCAAGTGGGGTGAAATTAGCGCGAAATTTAAAATACAATTCGTTATCCGACAACTAATTCACGTATTGGACAGAGCAATGACACAGAATATCATGATATTCTGTGGCAATGACAACTCAAGCTGAAATTCCCTAGACTTCCCTAGCGAAGCTCACAAGAGTCACAAGGTCGTTGATGCCACCTAACGTCACAAATGGATGCGCAGAACATTTTTAAATTGGTACATCGGATGCCTATACCATGTCTCCTTCTACCATGACTCTGGCAACGTTACCGGATCTCATGTTTTGCGTTTTACATCAATGTATACATTTCTGGATCTCGACTGGTTGTGTTTTTACAAATGATCTCGTTTTGCACAAATTTTGTCAAGAAAATTAAATGTTAAAAATGTTTTCCCCTCTGTGGGGGTGTGAGTTAGACAAGGTATTGAGGCATTTTTTGTAAAATATATACTTTAAAAAGTATTTTTATTATAGTGGATCTCAGGTTGTCCAAAGTTTATTCGGATCTCTACTTGATACAAATATATATATATATAGACATGTAATCGTCCATTACGAAGCCCACAATGCTATATTCCACAGCTTATACTAAACCCGACACCGACTTACGAAGCCCGAAACCGGGCTTCGTAAAAATCATGTGTATTACAATTTATTTCTTGCGGTTGGGTTGGTATTGATAAAATATAATATGCTGGAAAGATCCTAGTTGAAGTGGGCTTCGTAAAAATCACGCGTATATCGTCGTAGTTTTTACCGTTAAGTTGGTATTAACAAAAATGTAGAATTAATGCGGGCTCTGTAATGATGCCTTGTATCTGCAAATACACGGGGTATAGTTCACACCATCTTTCTGTAGGGGGCGTCCCAGTTTTTTTCTGTATATAAAATATACAAAGTGCAGCGACATGGCGGATTATAAGAACCAACTATTTGCTGCGAATTATGCAAAGCCCTAAATTTGTCAACACTGTTTATGTCTGATTGGGAGTGCTTAGGGAAGAATTACTTTGGTTGCGCTAGGTACCCAATTTTGAACTTTGTACATATAACTAAATACCTATGAAGTGAAGTTATTTATCTACATTGATTTTGTTAAATTAAAAACAAAATACCTATTGAATTAGTTATATTTTCTTTAATAAATAAATTATTTATGGTCTTTTTGGTACTGCACCATTTTTTTAAACTGCCAGTTCTTTGTCGAATTTTATCAGTTGTAAAACTGTGGCAATTCCTTTTTGTTAATTCTTTTAGAAACTTTAGCAGTACATTTTAAAACTACCAATTCTTTTAAGAACCTTTTTCACAAATACGTCAATATTTTATACTACTGAAACAATTCTTTTATCAATAGGACAATTGTTTTTAAAACTGAAGCATTTCTTTTCTTTGCTTCAAAACAGCATTTTCAGTTGTGTACAAACATTTTTTTTCTCAATTGCAACAGCTGTTTTCAGCACAAGTTTACGTTCTTCACCACATTTTCCAAAACCAAAGTAAAAACAAATTTTACTATTTTAAAGTGGTTGTAAGTAATTAAACCATTTTTTTAGAATTTTAAAGTTAGTCTTTCCAAAACGTTAGCATCTACTTTCAAAAATACAAAAAAATCCACATCCATTTGTTTTTTATTGCAAAAAAAATCTAGAGTTATGTTAATTTATTCTGTATTAGAATAGCTGAGCTATACACATTATTTCATTTTTGGAACTAAAATGGTTGCTCTGGAGTTGTAACAATAAACGCTTAAATGATTCAGACCAACTGATTGCAGTTTTTTATTTTAATGTTTCTCAATAAAAAAACATAGACCGAATAATAATTGCTGTTTTCTCTGAATAATAAATAGTATATTATTTTATGAGGAGCTAAAACATTATTTTTTCTGGCGAGTTTGTAGGTTTGCCAGACGAACGTAGTGAGTTCAGCAATGAGAGACGAGCAAAAAAAAATGTTTAGCTCCGAATAAAATATGCCATTTTTTCTCCAAACGAGCCCCAAATTTGCTTTAAGACCGAATTTGCCCCTGAAAATTACGTTTACGCTTGCGATTTGTTAGTTTGCTGTGGCCAGTTGCTGTAACATCATTGTCAATATAAAAAAGATTCCAATTTTTCGCAATTTTTTACGTGTTTTTACGAATATTGGTAAGTATTTCTCTATAATTATAATCATTTTAGATATTACAGCATTATTTTTGTAGCAGGTAGAGCCTAAAAAATGGCAGAAGAAGTAAACAGACCTTTTGAAATTGTTCAGGCTGCAGCAGAAGCTGTCAACAATTTACTCCCAACAAAATCAAGTGCATTATATGAAGCCATATACAGCAAATTTATTAAATGGTGCAAGAAAAAAAACGCTGAAAATTATTCGGAAATTGTTTTATTGCAGTATTTGCGTCGAAGGTGAATTTGAAAAGTTCTTGAATGAAGCTCCGGATGACGAATATTTGGCAATGAAGGTTAGTTTTCAGTATTTCGATATAAGTAAACTAGATAATATTCATGTTTAGGTAATTTTGATGATTGGAATAGCGGCTGCTTGCCGTTGTGACGAAATGATAAAAATGGGAACCAGCAATGTCCAGGATCTAGGATCTCTGCTTTTGATCAACATTCCTGATTCAAAAACGCATAAGAAACGATCGTTTACAGTAATTGGAGAACCTTACATAAGCATCTGTAGAAAATATGTTTCGCTGAGACTAGAAAATATTCCGGAACGACGTTTTTTCTTAAAATATTGCAAAGGAAAATGTCATCGTGCTGTAATGGGTATTCACAGTACCCAAGGATATTGCATCTTATCTGAAATTACCGCATTACAAAGAGTACACAGGGCGCTGTCTTCGGCGCACTTCAGCTACACTGCTTGTGGATAGTGGAGCCAATCTTACATGCTTAAAAAGGCATGGAGGTTGGAAGTCCAGCAGTGTAGCTGAAGGCTATATTGAAGACTCTTTAGCCAATAAGAAAGAAATTATCAACAACAAAGAGTATTGCAAGTGCGGCTGCTATAAAAACCTTCCGAGGAACCTTCCCAGGAATTTTGAATGAATTGTGTCAATACTGTTAATTCGACTATAAGTACAACTGATGCTGTATAGGACTCGGCTTTTTCTAGTGCTTGTAATTTTCAAAATGCAAATATTAGTAATAATAATTATAATTTGACAGCTTTTTATTTTAACTCCACACATGAGTGGCATTAAAGTATTTTAAAGCCGCTGACCCCTTGCAAAAATCAAATTAGAAACAAAAATGAAAATACGTTTTATTAAAGAACTAGATTTTTACTTTTGTCTAAACACATTGTACACAAAAGTTTTAATGCGCACCCAATCCTTGTTTACAAAAACATCAGCATGCTTAGCTAGCAGTTCATCACATTCATGTTTTTTTGGTGTGATTTTCTTTTGAATATGCAGCTTGAAGTAATCTGTAACAATTTTCTTTTCAGTTTCTGTCCAACGAACGCGGCCACATGGTTTTATTTTCTTCCCTCCTAAAATTAATACGCCGTAACAACTTATTATGGATCTTAACTGAATAATTAGGCACCTTTTTTAACTGCAGGTTCCATGCTTGAAGGACCTGGTTCAGCATTAAGTTGAGAAGTGCTCTCCGTGCATTCTGCATTTTCCAGCCCAACCTGTGAAAATTCTTCACTTTCAACATTTTCAAAACTAGCTGTATTATAAAAACAGTCTTCGTCATCAGAACTTAAATACATATCGTTGTCTATTTCTATTTCATCGAGGCTTTTTCCTACAAATTGTCTTCCTCTGCCTTTTTCTAACAACATTAATACTTTGGCCACCTTTGCAGTTTGAAAAATATCTTGGGGTAACCTGTTAAAAAATAGTATTTATTTTCTTAAAAATAAAAGGAAGTTTCAGTGTTTTGGCAAACCCACTAAAGGTGTTATTAATTTCAGTCGCTTCTGTGCAAAAGAAAATTATAATTTAGAGTATGATTTCGATGACCACACGTTTTTTGTATATTTTGTTTCAGGCGTCCCTAAATAAATAATACTCCTAACCAATATTTTTAGTCTCACTTTAAAATCAATTATTTATGTAGAGAAAACCTGAAAAAAGCAACTTCATATAAAGTTTTTCAGGCAACTGGTTCATCAGAAGATTTTACTCAAAGTGAAATCTTCCAACAAACCAGCTGCGTAAAAAACCCTTATAAAGACCTCTCTTAAAATGGGTCACAGAACACTCTTTTTTGACATTGTAAATCAGTTTGGCACACCTGCAATACCTGCATACTTAGGTCCTTATCTAAGTATTTATCTATAATTTTTTAAGAGAGGAAAATGCTTTCACTGTGCCTTTTTTTAAAATAATTGAAAAAATACCTGTAAAATTCGGTGTGGGTTTTTTTTGTATGCCCCATGAAGGTGGCTATTTGTTCCATTTCGTTTTCGTCCATTGTCATGAGCTGCAATGTGGTTGCTATATGTTTTCTGAATCTTGTGGAACTTAAAAGAGATGGGTTTGTAGCACCACAGCCGGTTGCTAATTTTCTAATAACGTGATACCCTGCCATCCATTTGTTTTCAGAGCCTGGATTGGCAAACAGATATGGATTTGATTTTGGTACTATATTTGAATGTTCTCTGATTTCTAGTATTAATTTTATATATTTCTGAATTTGTGGAGGAAACAAAATTGGTATTGGTTTTGAACCTTTACCACCGGTAACCACTCTTTTAAATTTTTGACTGAGAAGTTTTTCAACATTTGTTAGTGATTCAGTAAATGCTTCTTCATTTATTGTATATTCATTTTTGTTGTATGTATCCATCCTTAAATACTGCACATCACCAACCCGCCTTCTGTTGAACATTACAGTTAATGCTAAAACACATTCCGTTAAAGTCCTATAGTTGGTCCTTAAATTTGAATTGTTTTTCAATTCTTCATATGCTTGATTTGCCAAGTTGCTAACATGTGTTTGAAAAGCTTGTATGTCGCTTGTAAGAGGAAGAGCCTTTGGTTTTTCCCATTGCCTCTCTTTTAAAATTTTGAGAGCGAAGCTCGAAACTTCATTACACCAATGTCCTTTTATTAATTTCTGTAAGTCTTTAATTTCTTGTTTCTTTTTATCTCTGTTTTCCCAATTAATTTTTGGTAATTTTCTGTTTTCTATCACCAACTTAAGTGCAATATCACAAACAGTTTTTAAATTGGTTCCCATATGTAAAGCCAAAGACGGTGATTTATAGCATTTATTTAAAGGATCATAACCACTAATTTCTTTAGTAGCACATATTAAATCTTGAAAATTTTCTGGTTTCAATGCATCAAATAAGACATCAACTGAATTACTAATCCTTTTTAACACTATTAGTAATCTACCCATTTCTCGCATTTTGTTAGAAATTACTGTTGCAATTTGTTGTCTTTTATGTTTGCACAAAAGGGCTTCCCCATACAAACAAATCAATGTGTCACTTTTGGCAGTATAACTGATTTCGTCAGCTCTGATTATGCTAAAAACTTCTTCTTTTATACGCGCCGATTGTAAAAAGTTTTGATTCTTTGAAGTCAATGTGGCCAAAAAACTTTGACTCTTGTTTAAGCAGTTTTTCCCAGGATTTGTTTCGCTGGCAGGTTTCTGTTTGCATATTTTAACATGTTTATAAAGAAGTTTTTTTGTATATTGTCCCAAACAGTAAGTACATACAAAATATTGCACATCAGTTTTCTTGGAACTTCTCACAGGATTTGAAATATTCTTTTCCGTTTTCAAATAAAAATAACCTTGTTTTCGTAACGCTGCAATCAAAGCTAAACGTTCTTTACATTTAGGAGGTTTACTTTTAATTTTTATCACGTGTTCATTATTATCATGATGTCTAAATAAATGTCTTGTAAAATGTGTAGGTACATCTCTATAGCAAATAGGACAAATTGTAGGCCGTTCTCTTGCAGATGGTTTTTTAGAGTATTCTCCCTGATGAACCACACTCACTATAGTATTTTGGTCTGCATCTGCATCTATCATCCATTCTTCTTCTACTGTTTTATTTTTCTGTGTTTCCTCTTGTGAACTTTTAGTTTCTTTATTTTGTATATTTTCAATTTTATTTTCTTGTTTTTGTTGTGACTCGTCAAAATTTTGTAAAATGCTGAGTTGCTTTGATTCTGATGATTCGGGAAGAGTTGAGTCCTAAAAAGTTTTATGAAAAGTTAAGTCGCTTGAACTTCAAATTAATGTTCTTAATACCTTAACTAATAAAATGTCTTCAAGGGGCGTACTTTGGTCGGATGATTTTCTTATCTGTTTACGTTTTACGGTGAAATTCTAAAAGTTGTTTAAAAAAATTAAATTGGATTTAATTTAAAAGAAACTATACCTTCATTACAGGAATATCTTCTGACATGTCGGAGTCAATAGATTCAGATAAAACATATTCTGATCCTGAGTCTTGAAAAGGCTCAGACTCAGAAACAAATGACAGCTCATTTTCGAAGTCGTCATCTTCAAAAACTTTCGATTCTATTTCGGCAACCTCAACTCCTTCACTAACATACCCTTTAAATTTTAGAATAATATAATGGAGTAATAATACAATTTGTGAGTTTTAATAAGTAGGTGTAAAATTAATAGTTTGTCCGAATTAATGTACAGGCCATGCCGTTTAAAAAAAAACACCAACATTTCGTTGTCAAACCAATGTTAACTAAACAGCTTTCACACATTGACATTAAAACATGAATGCCGTGCTGACTGAAGTGAAATTGACTTTGTAACGTGTTTTGTTTTGTACAACATACGCAATGGTGGCTTTTTAATTGAAGGGACAAATTATAGCACTACAAAAGTAAAGTATTGTACAAAGTGCTCAGTTTATGGAGGGTTGTAGCTAAATTTTAGAATATAAGAATAAATGCGTGATGAGTTAAGCTACAGAAAAGTTGCTAACTTTTTAGTTTTCAAAAATGTGGAAGAGAAAAATTATGAAAAATTTGTTTAATTTATTTAAACAAATTTAAATTTTTCATTTTCTCTCAAAAAACACATTAACATCTAATGCAGATTGCTTTTACTATCCCAACTACTTAAATATTGCAAGATACTTACCAATTTTGTTTTGAGTAGCCAAACTAACCAAAAACTTAGAGCGGTCCATGCTAGTATCTTGCACGTGCACTTCGATCACAAGAATTAAAATGATCTCATCAGAAGGCTGAGAAACAATAGCAAAATGGCAACGCAGCATGGTTGCATTTCACATGTGAAATATCTGCATTTTATACAGCCGGGCTTCGCATTTCATGTTGTATATCAATGGCTTCGTTAAAACAGCAAAGTAAGATTTTTGGTGTATGTAAATAATTTCTACCCCTCTCAAGTTGCTCCCACTAAACATTTTGCAATAAAGCGATATATTCGACTTATAAATCGGTATTGCATGTAGAAAGCCCGGGCTTCTGAGAGCCTGCATTACATACCGGGCTTCGTATCATCCGTCATACATGTATATATATATATATTCATCTAGGAAGCAGTTTCGCATAGGGTGCTCATGTGACAACAGCGCAATTCATGCCGTCTTGGTTTATATCTTAGCTACATCTCACCTGAAATGACAGTTTGGCCACTTGCTCAGTGATAGCAGCACGTAATTTTGCTAGCTTCGTTAAACACTGTTTTGACTAAATTGTAGAAAACTATGCATCATTGCAAGTGTTTACAGCCATTGTAGTTTGTAGAGGTCAGTCAAATTTTTATTTTTGTGTGAACAGTGTGGAATGGAACTTACTCGAAATCATAACAACACGATAAATGGATTTTTATCTACAATAATAAATATAAGTGAGTTTTCTAAATTGACAGTGGATATTGAGATATTATCAAGAAAGATTTGGTTTTCTCACCAGTTCAGTGCAAGTTTTATAAACGCGATGTTGTTAAACAAATGTTTTAATGTTTACTTGCTAAGGTTATACTTTCTAATTAGTAGGAAGAATTTACCATCCTTCAGCTTCCGCAGCAAATTCACTGGAGGAATACCAGTTAATAATCGAGACTGGGAGTGCTGCCAACATCTGAAACTGTGTTAGTACTTCTAAACCCTTGAAGAGAAAAATGGGCTGTAAAGACAGCATTTTCGGTTAAAACAAATTTCCTGTCCTTCAGATTCAATCGACAATTCACCAGGGGAATATCTCAACCAAAGTTGATTTTATCAAAAACTTTGAACCAGAAATAAAAAGTTGAGAGATGCTTTTAACCCTCTCTGTGAGAAACAGACAGTGAAGTTTTTCAATGTTAGTTAAGTTTTCTCAGTTGGTGGACTGACAAATAAATGTGTGGAAACTATTTGAAAAAATTAGATGAAAAAACAGTTTAAAATTTGTGTAAATGTAGAAGTTTGGTTGGAAACTATCTATAACAAACACATTTTCTGTTCATTATTTTTTGTAAATTGTACTCATTAAATGTGTTGTTAAACTTCCATATTTATAAAAATGTTTTTCTTACAATTCAGGAAATTTGGCACCTTCGTTATTTATGTAGTTTTTATAGTAAAAACATTTATTTATAACACATTTTGTATCTTTTTTTTAATTTTTTGTCTACTTTGAAACAAAATTATTATTTTATTTAGATGGAATCGCAGCATTAGAAAAAAGCGAAATCTTCCTGTGTGCCAAACTTCCCTCCTGTCAAGAGATGTTCGCGTAAATGCGCAAGTTCGGGAACCTTCTGAAAATATCAAAACATAATGTATTTTCAAAAAATTAAAAGGAATATGATTAGAGTCACTGATGTATAGGTTGTGCTTTAAGACTTTTTTTTATTTTTCTAATAAAGTTAATATAAATAGTCTGGAGCCGTATATTTTTTTAACCTCATCTCAAATACATATTGTGTAAAATTGTTTTTTTTTTTTGTATTTATTATAAATACATTTAGCATCATGTTTGCAAGATTTCGTCAGTTAGTAGAAGTTTAATGCAACTGAATAATTTAGTGTGTGCCAAATTTCTTGATTGGTAAAAAAAATTTCTATAAAGAGGCAACATTGGCAACTCCCTTATAATGAAAAATTAAAATTGAATGAAGTGGATGATTACTAGGCTTTTTTACTTTCCGAACGTAAGTGAAGGAATCCATCGGGCGGCTTACCAGTTTCATGTTTTCTTTACGTTTCATGACCCCCCAGAGTACAAAAAAAATAGTCTACCGTTTCTGTCTGTCCGTCTGTATCGATTTTGATTAGACAGATAATCTCCTAAACTACTGGATCGATTGTTGTCAAATTTTGTTTGTATATTACGAATATCATGTAAATGGTAAAACGCGAACCAAAATTTGGTTAACCATCCCCACCAACAATTTGATGACGTCTGCTCATTATGCTGCATAGTCAACATTACCAGAATTGTATGAAATGATATACTCTTGTATTTGTGGTTTACAAATCTTGAATTTGTGTATGATTAAACTTTGACTTTTTTTTTAAATTTTAATGAAGTATACTGTTATAAATAGCTTTTAGATGTTTTTGTCAATAAGTATGTAATTTCTATTAAAGTTGATATAAATAAATTTTACGAGTATATTTTTGGAACCTCAAATGGTGTGTAAAATTTCTTTTGGTTTTTTATTATGCATTTATTCTAAATAATTACATTAAGTTATTTTTTTAACATTTCGTCAATTAGCAGAAGTCTCATGGGCTTGAAAACCTTATGCGTGCCAAACTTCCTTATTGATGAGAAAAAAATTTGCAAATACGGAACTTTGGAAACTCCTAATAAATTAAAAAAAATCTTTTATTTTGTACCAGCCATTAAAAGTAGGTCGTTTGGCCTTATGTTTAGTAGATAAACAAGTCTTGTTTACCGGTAGATAAAGGAGTCTTTTATCTACAATTTATTTTGTTATTTGTTAAGATTACAAATTGAAACCAAAGTCAAACCAAGACAACACATGTATTAGCCAACACGTTTGCATTCGCCGATGCGCGACGCAGCGTATTAAAAATATTACGTACAGCACATTCGAACAGTTTTAAAGTTTTAGTTAAAATCTGGTAGAAAATAAAATAAAATATTACACTCGATGATAAAGAATGTTTATGTACTCGTGAAAAATAGTCCACTAGTGAATGATCACTTTTCTCTTGTAGATAATAAATAACATTTTTTTTTTCAAAAAAAGACTAAATGAATGGAATAATGTGGATAACTACTAGAACAATATCTTCCTAATTTTATTGGAGTGAACTAATATAAATACACGTTTTATTTCCATAAGATGTGTGATTACGATCAGGGTCATAAATTCAAAAAATTGGTCTAAAGAGTTTAGACAGTACTTCCCTCGCTCTTAGAACCGTGTCTCTATGTCTGTCATAGTTTCTTCTCATTACAGTTCTGTGACGGGCCATTTTAATAAAATCGCTTTCAGTCTGAAAGTCGCGGCTCGTTCTTAATTTGATCAAAAATAAATTGACTAATTCATAAATTTTTTTGAGTCACCCTGTATAAGCGAATTTAAAAAATATGAATCCAACCATAAATTACAAGTATAGTCTGATCATATTTTGCATATTTTCGAAAGGATTTATTTGGCAAAATTTTGACATGACGTAATCAATTTTTTGGGGTTGATAAACAATTGATCAAAAATTTACCATGCTTAGGATAACTTTAAAACATGTCCAAGATTTCAAAGCATTCGGTTCTGTAATTCCTGATTAAATCAATAAAATAAATTCACGCATTCATTAATTTTTTTGAGTCACCCTGTATATGCAAATCCAAAAAATATGAACGGAATGATAAATCACAAGTACAGACTCATTATATTTTGTACATTTTAGATAAAATGTATTCACCAAATTTGGGGTGACGTCATCAATTTTTTTAGGGGGGATGAGCAAATACATTTTGATAAAAAATTTGCCATGCTTATAATAACTTTAAAACATCTCCAAGATTTCAAAGCATTCGGTTCTGTAATTCCTGATTAAATCAATAAAATAAATTCACGCATTCATTAATTTTTTTGAGTCACCCTGTATATGCAAATCCAAAAAATATGACTGGAATGATAAATCACAAGTACAGACTCATCATATTTTCTACACAATAATTTGTGTTTATAAAAATCATTTGTCACGAAAAAATTTTCAGTATTTGAAAAAATCGAAAATCTTGGCTGTGCCAAACTTCTTCGCTGTTAGGAGAGATTCCCATAAATACGGAAGTTCGGCAACACCTCAAAACGTGATGTATGTATTTAAAAAAAATGAGAGAATGTGTACACTGGGGTAACTACTGCATAGATAATGCTTTTAGGCTTTTTTTTGATAACTTCTATTAAAGCTGATATAAACAGACTTTCGTCGTATATTTTTGTAAATTCATCTCAAGTGGTATCTAAAAATATTATTTCTTTATTATTTATTCTCAAAACTTAAAATAATGTTTTTATAACATGTCGTCAATTAGCAGAAGTCTCATGCGCGTCAATAATAAATTCTAGTGGCTGCCAAACTTCCTCATGGATGAGAAAAAAATCTATAAATACAGAATTCTGGCAACTGCCTAAAACATAAGATTTTTTTCTCAAAAATTTTGGAATTTTCTTTTGATACAATTACAGTTGTAATAAAAAAAATCTACGATAACTGACGTTTATTTATTCACTCTTTTTTGTCAAATTATAAACATGGACCACAGAATGGAAAAAATGTATTTATATATTTTCACTTCTCATTAGAATTTGAAAAAAAGTGATCCAACAGTTATCCACATGATTCCATCCATATTTTGCTTTTTTGAAAAAAATTGATTTTTATTTCTAGGAAGTTGGCAGAATTCCGTATTTACAGGAATTTTTCTCATCAATAAGGAAATTTGGCACACACAGTCAGGACCGTAAACGCCGTACTTGATTATGTAATGCTCGAACAGGTCGATTTTTTATTCAAGGGGTACGTATAACGTTGCTATGTTCGGGAGGTCATTTTCTACATTGATTGCGTTGGCTTGGCATTCTTAACGAGTAAGTAAAAAGTGGTGATAAGAGGTGATATTTTAAATGATTTTTCATATTACAATTTCTCAGGAACCAATCCACCGATTTTAAAAAATCAAACACTGTTAGAAGGAGAATTAACAGGGTTTCCCCACAAGATGCTCCATCTGTTTTGTTTTATTTGGGCCACCTTGTATATATTTTGTTTTATAGTAATCCAGTCCATCTGGCAACTTGTCAATTTCATGATTTCTCGACCTTTCATGACTCCTATAGTACGAAAAAGTGATCTCCTGTTTCAGTCTGTTAATTTTTTTTATCTTTTTGAAGAATAATTCTGTATTTATTTATATGTAAATTCACGAGTTGCCGAACTTCCACCTTTATAAACAAATTTTTTATGGATCAGGAAGTTTATCAGTTATCCGTTTTTGAAACCCTAAATTTTTCTAGTAGCCGACAAAATTTATAATCGCCTATTATTACATTATGTAAGTATTTTGTATATGTTTCACATTTCATTTTTGTAATTTAATCTTATTTTTAGGTGAAGCATCGCCAACCATGAAATACTGAAGACAATTCGTCAAAATTTGATCCAGGCTGAAGGGTGGGATCCAAAAAAATCGTTTTTTTTTAAAGCCACAAATAATTTTAGACAAATAAATTTCGTTTCGGAGAGATACCGAGTTTTACAGAATTTTCTTAATTTTTATTACATGCTAAAGGGCGACTGTATCACTATACACACATACATCGTGTTTTCCAGACATACACAGTTTTTTTTTGTTTAATATACTATTAACCATTATCATATTAACATTAAAATTTTGGGAAATAGTAAAAAGTTCAAGAATTTTAGAAAATATTTATATTGATTTTTTAACAAAAGGATACTTCTATAACAATATAAGCATTTGAAACTTACATACTAGTATGTTACAAATTATAATTTCATTTTAAACAGTAAACCATTACAATAAGAGATGTTATTTAATTTTTAAACAAGTATTCTTATGTAAACCTGAAAAACTCATAATCTGAAGTTCTCTGGATTATAATATTAATAACCTTTATTGACCTACAGTTCCTAGAACCAATTACAGAGCAATATTAATAATTATAAAATAAGCAAAAGAAACAAGATCGAACCGATGTTTTAAATATTAATTGAAAACAAAAACATAAATCAAATCTTAAGTAAGTAAATAATAATGTAATGTACCTACTTAACACAAAAAAAAACTAGAGATTTTAATTTAACATTTTCGTCGCTAATTTCCTAAAATTGATTTCATTAAGATAAAAGACATTCAATTCTTTAAACTTATTATTATACAACATACAGATTAAATTAATTGGGGAACTCAGTAATATATTTGTATGAGCTGCAGGAGAGTATAAAGACAATGCATCTCTACAACATAGCCGTCGAACATGAAATGAAATCTTTGCCAGTAGCTCAGCACAATCAATCTTAAAATGAACGATTTTATGAAACAACGTTATAATGGCGATCTGTCTTCTAATATCCAAAGATAACATTCCAAATTCAGCTAACAAAATGGAATTATCAATACCACGCTGCGGAGACATGTTTTTTGAACCAACAAAATTTGAGAAATCTTCTCTGAACTGCTTCAATAGCACTTATATAAATGAAATAAATTTCATGCCATATAATACATCCATATTGTAAACATGCAACAACATAAGAATTAAACAAAACCTTAATTGTTGAAATATTGTTAAACGACTTGCCTTGTCTTATTGTAAAGCCTAATAGTAAAAATGCTCTTTCTATTATATGATTAATATGATAGACAAACGTTAACTTACAATCCAAAAAGATACCTAAATCTTTGATGACGCTTTCTCTAATTAGTGTGATGTAAAAAAATGTAAAAGAAGAGAAACCATTGTAGAAGACATACTGAGACCTATGAGATTAACTGAGGACAAGTTTTCTTTTTATGTGCGTGAATTTTCTTCTTCTTATTTCGTGTTCCACTGTGTTTATAACGGATTCAACATTCATGTACCTTAACTTTGAATGCTGCTCCATTATCTCCATTGCTGCAACCACTGTTGGGGTTGTTAGAGAAGAAATGTATTGGCCAAAATGTTTTAGAACAATGGTTTTAAATGGTGATCGTAATTTTTCTAAAATCAAAAAAAGCAGTTTTGCACATAAATTTGTTTAAAATAGCACAAACCGATATTTTGTATAAAACGAGCAAAAAGATATTGTTAAATTAGGTTATCATAAATAAGAATTGGATGCTAAATTTTAGAACAATATATACCACAGCATTAGCAGAAAGCCTTGTATTAAGTAACTTCGACAAAAAAACAAACAGGAACAGCAAAAGAAGTTAATTTTTCTGTAGAAATGTAATACTGAACTGCGCGTCAAAGTTAGGGATATCGATATTATTTATTTTATACTTTTCCATATAATTACGTAGGCTTAAATTAAATTAATCAAAATATCCCTAACTTTTAACGCGCAGTTATGATAATACTTGGTACGGTTACCTTTCTGAGGCGAAAAATGTCCATAAGTCACGTTTCGCTGTTTTTTTTTAATTTGATTATTTACGTATGCATACAGCACTTTGTCCGTTCTATTTTGAAGTTCTGGATATTCACGCACAGCTTTTTGGCACGATTTAAATGTAGGTAAAGTTAACTGATCAATGAATTTCCCAAAAAGTTTTCTTACGATACATTTTTCTGGCGTAGTCCAGGCTTTCCTGGTAATTTTTCCAGGATTGTCTTCCAGTTCTAAAAAAACTCGAAGTAAATTTTATTCAAATTAGTGTGAAATGTGTTCTTATAATTTCTATTTGAAATTTAAGACGTAAAATAGCAGCTGCGTTTTTAAGTCTTTTGGCAAATTTTCGTTACTAAAACGTAAAAAGCCTTACCTTCTTTTTCAAGCTCGATTGAAATTCTGCTTTGTGATTGATTCCATTTGATCCACGCTCGGACTTGCTGTGCTGTTCTGTGTTTTAAATTAGGGTACAGATTTACTGCTTTCTGACATTCTTTAAGACTGGGCATACTTTCTTTTTTGAAATAATTTCTGAAAACAGTTCTAACAGTTACTTTTTCTGGCGTCGTCCATGTGTGTCTGATTCGCTTTTTCGATAAACCTTTAATCAAAAGTCACAACAATAATTTACAGCATTTTTAAAGTGTATGAGCAACACATACTAGATCGTAAATTTTCTTTGATTTCATTCAAAATTTAAATTGTTGGTCAATATTTCAAATAGTTAACAATATACCTTTTGTTGCTTTTTCAGTTTCAACTTCATGCTCAGAATGTTCAGACATGTCTGACTCATGATCGTAGTCAGACTCCGAGGATGAGGACAACTTATATCTACTCCTCTCTTTGAGAAAACTTGTCTCCTTTGTTTTTAATTCCAATGGTACCAATACCACTTTCAGTTCTTTGCCTAACAGAGAAAGAAACATACAAGTGAATGAATAGACGGGGATACATTCGAAACTTTTACCTTCGTTAAAATATTTTTCTGTAAATGTGAAAGGTTTTTTAAGAATATCATTTACTTCCGTATCTTCTAGAACGTAAAAAAAAAGGTAATAAAGAGTTTCTATGAAAATGTAATATTAAAGTTACGTTCATGTGTATCGCTGGTGTTTGACTGTAAAGAATGATTTGAAAATGATACGCTTTCCTGTGAAATTACAGTTTCCAAATATTGTCCTTCATTTCTGGTAATATGATCTATCCCTGTGTCAGATGCACCATTTTTGTTCTCGTTACATTCCACATGACTATCAGAAACTACGTGATTTTCGAACAGAGTGTCTAAAAAAAATTGTGATATGCATTACACATACGTATACGTAAGGAAATTGACAAAAAAAAACCTGCATCACCCGTAAGTAGCTGTGCTGAACTTTCCACGAAATTGCTCTCTGAATACTGTTCTACAACAACTACTTTTCCACAAGTAAGAATTTAATTCATTAACAATTTGATTTCATTTGAAGACTTACCTTCATTATCAAATAGGATTTCACTGGCGTTATAGTTATAACTGGAAACACTACAATTTTCATTGTCAATATATGTGTCTGGAAAAAGATAAGTATGTACAATGTTTGTTTTTATGTAGAAGATTACATCTTACCTGACTCCGAAAGAACAGCTGGTGATGCTCTTTCATTGTCAAAATGAGTGTCTAGAAAAAATAAGAACCACATATTGTATTTTTATCTAAGAAAATTACATTTTCCATACCTGACTCTGAAAGAACAGATGGTGATTTGTTTGTTTCTCCACTACCTATCAATGCGTTGTTCAACAGTTTTGACATGCGAGTTATTTCCTTTGTCACCACTGGCATCCTGTTGTATTATTTTTTAGCGTGTGACCCATTAGTTATAAAGCAAAATTACAAAGGTACTTACCGATAGTAGTTCTTGTGGATTTTTTCTTCATGTCCCAAATGGTTTGCCACATCTGATATTTGTTCATCTGTATATCCCATTGCGGCACAATAAGTGGCAATGTGCTTTCTTAACAGGGTAGCTCTTATTGTTTCTGGATGTGATAAACCGCAAGAACTAGAATAGTTTCGCATAAGTGTACATGCATCCAAATGCCTGAATTCCTGCTGGTCCTCCCCAGGCAGTCCAAAAATATAAGGATTTTCTTTTAAAACTCCAGCTTGCTCTCTGTGTTTCATAATCAAATTTAAACACTCTAAAGTTGTATGGTCTACCAGCATGCTTACAGATCTATTTAATTTCCCTCTGAGAAATATTAAACTGAATTCTTTTACAGCTTCTTGTTCTCTAATGTCAAGTGAGTTAAAGAGCATCTGGTCTCCCGCATAGTCAGCTTTTCTAATATTTTTAAGGTCACTTACTAACATCCGTTGACTCTCTCCAGGTCTTCGCCTATTAAAAACCTGAATGCATGTTAAAGTATATGAACACAGTTCCTTCCATGCTTTAGAAGAAAACTCCTTCTGCAGTAGCTTGGCATAAAAATTTCTCTTATCACAGAGAAAAGCGTAAAATTTTGATATGTCATTTGCAGTTGGTAGCTGTACTGGTTTACTTCTGTGAAGTTGCGACAAATTTTCGATAGCAGTTTTGTTAATATGTGTTCCATATTCTTCGTTTAGAACATGCATAAACTTTTTCCATGCTTGGATTTTCTTGTCGAGTTTGTTTTTAATTAAGTACGTTTTGGCATGCTTTCCGACTTTTTTCAGTAATGTGCCCATTGATAAGGCTACGGTCGGACACTGATAATTCCCATCGTTTTTTGAAATTTTTGAAATTGATTCCGCAGCTTGCAGACAAATTTCAAAGTTGATGGGGTTATATATCTCAATAAATTCTGAAATCTCACGATTTAAATTCTTTACAACATTTAAAAAGCGCCCAAGTTGTCTCAGATTAGCGCGTATTTCTTTGGCGTGGTGAGGAGCTTTTAATTTTTTACACAGTTTATTGCCGAATGATATAATTAAAGGATCCTTTCGGATCACGTCGTATACACTGTCCATTCTTAAGCGACTCATTATCGCGGTTAGTGTCTTCGACGCCGTACAGTGTATATCGTTGTTAATTCTGCGACCTAAGATTATACCAAGTCTATTGTTTTTCTGTTTGTATCCCTCTTGTTGACAGTTAGGGAAATGTTTCCTGAGAGAACATTTGGAATAATAACCCCTGCATCTGGGACACGGTATTAATCTCGGATTTTTACCTTCTTGTGCCCGTCGAACTGGAATGATATCGTTTTCATATGTATTATTTTCGTAGTTGCCTTTTTTTCTTATCAAGTCAATAATTTTTCGTCTTTCTTTAGAACCTAATAAATAATTTAAAATCTTAATATTATGTTTTGGCATAACTAATCTAACCTTTTGGAAGAGGCGTAAATTTAATGACTTCATCTTCGTCACCGTGTTGATTTTCCAGATGGCGGGCAATATTTAAAAATGTATTCTGGCAAAAAAAGCAACAGTTTTTCTTCCTATTTCCCCTACAAAAATAGAGAAATAAGGAGACAACTCTAGAGAAGTGATTTAGAGCTTTATTTTAAGATGAAAAAATTTATAATTGGTGGTCTGAAAGTTTGAAGGGATTTTTTTAAGCTTGATGTATTTTGAAAAAGCAGTCAGTGGCGTAGATTTTGAGGGATAAATTATTTTTTTTACTCGAAACTTATACGCCATCTTTTTTGGAAATAAATGTTACTGGCAGCTTTTTAAAAATACATTAAGCTTCAAATAAAGCCCTTCAAACATTAATCGAGTTTACGGAATTTCAAATCTTACGCTGACACGTTCAAAAGTTGTTTAAAAAATTGTTGTCCTTCCTTCAAGACCCTGTTATCTCGAAAATGGTTAAATTTTCTAACCCGCGATTATCGATTTTTTCCTCTTATTTCTATGACATCCTGTATAATAAATAAAATATGAACTAAAAACAAAGATTAACTGAAAGTAATCAGAACTAACTTGTATTTTTCTAAAACAGACATAAGAGAACCAGATAAATTTTCAAATTGTTATCATAACAGTAGTCTCAGGGAGTAGTAATCAAATAACTGAATTTTTTTATTTTTCACCTATCAATTATAAACTTATAATACCTTAGTAACAGCTGCTATCAACAGGCTCATAACGCCCTTGGCGTTATCAAGAAATTAGTTATGATTTTTTAACGCCCGCTAATTTAAATCTTCTTTGCCTTTGTGGCTTTTTTAACGATCTTTGAGGGAATTTCCATGTTTTAATTTAAAACTAACAAATGAATCTTACATTAAACAATTCTTAGCAACCCGTAGTTTTTATCTATGTAAACCATAGGTATGAACGCTATGTTCAGGCTTAGTAATTTCAAAATATATCAAAACGCGGTCTAAACTTATTTTAATTCTTGAAAAAAATGTGAAAAATAAAATGTTGTACGCACCACTAACGTTACTAGATCATAACACACACATTGTATATTATAACGCTCTAGGTACATAAAAACTATTGCATGTAAAAAAAATTGAAAACTTACTTTTTCTTTTCCATGGAGAAAATGATAGTTTGGATAAAATATCCTCCGTTATCCTTCTATACACCAAAATTGTTAACAAGCAACAACGGTAACTGACAAACTGCTGATCTGTTTTCCATAAGTTCTGTTCTGCTTCTGCGACGCCCTGAAGCCCAGCGAATGCACTGCACACATCACCTTTGACGCGCTTTGTAAAAATGATAGTTTCAGTGGAGCAACCGATTCTAAATAACAATAACAATAACACGTGCAGCGCGCACGGGAGCCAAAACATCCGCACGGGAACAAAGAGTGGTTTCAGAGAATCAGTTGGGCTATTTTTATGTTTTCGACTATTTTCATAAAAATTGATAATTTTTGAAAACAAGTTATATATCAATATGGTAACTATTCATTTTTTTGTGTTGTTTAACTTCCGTTTTTATGAGAACATATAATATAATTGGGAAATTTAGCTGTCGCAATATTTTTGTAAATTTAAATAGTAGTAAAAGTTTTTTCTAAATGGTGATGTTTTGAAACTGTTCTCGGTATTTACATGTAGTACATATTAAATTACAATAATCCCCATACTAGTTGACAATGAGTTTAGTATACTAAAATAGATACATTCTGTTTTTTGTAAAATTACTGGTGAAAATAATCACCCGCTTCATTCCATTCATTCTGACAGTTTTTTAGATGAAATTATGTTTTTCATATTTTTAGAGTTTTTAGATTTCCAGATTTACAGAATTTTTTCTCATCAATAAGGATGTTTGGCACCATTAGATTTGTCAAGTGAATAAAACTTCTGCTAATCGACGAAATGTTGCAAATATAAATTATTGTACTATTTAGTATACTTATACAATTAAGATAAGTTTACAAAACTATAAGGGTAGAGCCTGTTTTTATCAACTTCATTGAAAATTACTTAAAAAAATTGGTCGTCACTAAGTACAGTCGAACAAGTACAGCTTCCAAAAATGATCAAATTTGACTTCGAGAACTTTGTTATCATCACTCCTATGGGCTAAAATTAATATAAGCATGCGTGGATTGTTAAGGTATAGGTAAAGAAGAATAGTGTGTATATGTCTCTTATGAGTTTTTCTATATAAAATTTTTTTGATGACGTCAGCAACATTTTAGCAAAGACACGTATGTCAGTTTGAATAGGTGCAGTATAACACTATTTTAGTAACAGTACTGTTACCCTCAGATTTTCAAGGAAATGGGATGTGAATAAAACATGACACTTCACTGATTAATTATTTTGGGGTCACTTGATCACTTGATATTTCGACAGAACTTTCCTGGCTCCTAAAGTACAACATATCCAGCTTCTTTGAAAGATTGTAAAATTTGATTCTGCAAATTTTAGTTTTTTTACGAGAAGCCTTATAAGTTGAAATAAACATATGTATTATGTGGTGTTACAGTAAATGTAAAGAAGCGTGCTACGCCTATGTTTTGAAATGAGTTTTTTGCAATTTCAAAGTTAAATTGCAAAATGTTGTTACGCAGTCTTGATTTTTTTCAAAAATTTGCATGTTTAAGATCACAATAACACAAGATGAATTTAAATAACATTTATTCAGCAAAGTTGTAAAATGATGTCATCAGTTTTTAGGGGGATCGTAAACCCATAAATTTTTATTAACGATTTACCTACGTGTTTCCGATAACCTTAAAACCTTTGCAGAGTTTCATATCATTCGGTTTTGAAACTTCAAAATTAAACTGTAACATGTCGTTAAACAAATTTGATTTTTACATAAGCGTAAGCTGAGGAAGTATAGTGGTCAAGTCCATCGGGCGACTTGCGACTTTCGTGTTTTTTCGACGTTTTATGGCCCCTAAAGTACGAAAAAAGTGGTCTTCCGTTTCAGTCTGTCTGTTCGTCTATCTGTCTGTCCGCCTGTCTGTCTGTGTCGATTTTTAATCTTAGACACATAATCTCTGAAACTACCGGACCGATTGTTGACAAATTTTGTACATATATATTAGGATTAGGACAATCATGTAGATGATAAAACGCTAACCAAAATTTCGTTAATAAGCCCCACCACCAATGGGGTGACGTCATCTCCAAAATTTACAATGGTAAATTTGTTTTTAATTTTATAAAATAAGATACGTCTGCACTTGTGCTGTATGAATCCGTGTTGAGTTTTCACCTTCGACATCCACATTTTTGGAAAGAAATCAAAATTGTATAGCAACAAAGTATTTAATCTTGAAACTGAAAAGCCGAATATCTTGTAAAAAGTTGATATATATATAAAATGTGCACACTACTACTAAAAGTAGGTACTTGTGGTTTATCGACGCATTCATGTTTTTTTGAATTTCTTATACAAAGTTATTAAAAAAATTAATGGATGGGACATGTTTTATTAGTTGTTAATAGTAATACACTGCATTTACTAAAATTGATGATATACATGTCTTTGCTAAGATGTTGATGACGTCATCAAAAAAAATTCGAAGTTAAATTTGATAATTTTTCGAAGCTGGATTTGTTCGACTGTACTTTAGGGCTGAAGGAAATCCTGTCGAAATATACTTTGATCAATTTACAAAGTGTATTTATATATATCAGTTTACTTCATTAAACATCGAAAAATATTGTTTTTCTTCAAACGTCAAAAAAACATGACTTTATGTACCTCAACAAATGAACTTAAAGTATGACATTTCAGCCGCTCCTCACCACCGACAGATAAAAATTTTTGCTGCCGCTACAGGCGGCAGCAAAAGTAAAACCATAGCAACAGCATACAAATCATTCCAAAGCACACTGAAAAACCATAGTAACAGTTAACTTAATTCATTCGTTTTAAAGAATTGATATGTAATTCCATTTTTTTAAATTACTTCTCTAATTGAATTGCAGACGTTTGAAGAAAAAATAGCATGTTTTATTCGGAGAAAAATGACTTTTCGTGGCTCATCTGTAATTGCCGGCCTCGCGCGCTCGGCCGTCAAACCTACAGATTCGCCACGAAAAGTCTCATTTTAGCTCCTAATAAAACAATATACTATTTAGTAATTATCCACATCATTCTATTAATTTTGTTTTTTTTGAAAAAAGAAAGTATTTTTTATATTTTAGGGAGTTTTCAGAATACCGTGTTTACAATTTTTTTTTCTCAACAACAAGGAAGTTTGGCACACGTCAGATTTTCGAGTACATGAAACTTCTGCTATTGACGAAATATTATAAAAATAAATTACTGCATGTATTTAGAATAAATTCTAAAAAAAAAAACAAATGTACACACCATATAATCAACTTTATTAGAAATAATTAAAAATAACATCTGAAAGCTATTTAAAACAGTTTAATTTATTTAAAAAAATGGTCGAAAATTATTTCGACAGAATTTTCCTCTCTCTTGAAGGACAGTGCGAGAAATC